AAGTAACCGACCGAAGAATACTCACATTTTCCGACCGAAGCTTCTTGGCGGGACAGCCTCCGTCAATCGGGTGGAGCATGTAGTAAAGCCGAACTTTGCTTGCATGTTTCCGACTCTGTGGAGGAAAACCAAGGAGCCTTCTTTCAGTGAACCAAACATCTGCAAAGAACAGCAAAGGGCAATTCTTTTCCTAATCCTTAGATTGCTACAGCTCTCTTTCGTTAGGGTTGAGGGAGAGCTTAAATTTGCAGCCTGCTTTCTGAGTGATAAAACTGGGGTGAGGATGTGATTTTTCTGAATGTTTCTGAAACAGTGTTCTGGTTGAGGCAGAGAGGAACATCTTTCTGGTGTGCTACAAAAGAAACAGATGTTTGTGCCACTAAGAAGATAGGCCATTAATAATGGGATAACTGATGTCCCGGTTTGGTGCCATCCGATGTCACTGACCAGGTTGGCTTCAAAATAGGGAGGCTGCAGCCCCAATGTATCTGGAGGGCACCAGACTGAGAAAAAAATAGAGTACAAGTGGCTTGGCCAGGTAAAGAATTCTTATTCAGGTTGTGGGATCTGAAATTGCTTCAGATAATAACTGGGAAGCATTTCTTACATGGGGAGTACAGTGATCTCACACTTCTTGAGTAATTGTGTGGCCAAGGGGTATGTGAGTGTGTATGAAAGTCCTGTCTTTCAATGCATAATCCTGTCCAATGGTCTGCAGCACGGACATCCACGGGCTATGATAAAAAATGTCAGGATGATGGTCACGGCTGCGCAAACAAAGCTCGGCCTGTTTTTTTTATTTGTGTCTGCAGTCTCCCTGATTTTCCATGCTTCTATGGGAAGACATCAGAAAGGAAGTCCTCCCAGGGAGATTTTTCAATTGCAGCATTTTCTGTCACTGGTAAGGGGAATTTTTACCCTCAGGAAAATTGTTCTTCCCCTGGAAAAATCCAGAGAAATCATCCATCCTGCTTCTCTAGCCAAAAATCTGGTAAGACTTTCAAAATTTCTGCCCAGCTCAAGACAAGAATGACTTAGATCGGATTCCTTGGGATGAAGCCTTCTTTGTTATGAAGATCCTCAAAAACTTCCAAAACAGTATATAACAAGTTTCCTCCAACTGGTGTCTTTCAGATGTGTGGGACTTCACAATGCCCAGCCAGGTTGCCCCTTGCTAGCATGGTGGAAGCTGGACAACAGCAGAAGACTGGTTTATCTACTCCATGTTTGGGAAAAGTAGATAGCTGAACACAGAAACAAGAGAAGCTGAATTTTCTTGTTTGAATACCTGTGAAAATATGTTTTTTTTTCGTATGAACTCCCCATGTCAAAAAATAAATACATAAAAATTAAAGTACATATAGCAACTGTTACATTGTTTTACCTGCCATAGGAGAATCAGTCATATCAAAGCCACCGCTGAATTCTTTCATTGAAATCAGCAGGACTTGGAATTAATTAGTTTTAGCTGGATCAGGAGAACCGTATTTTGCATCGTTTCTGAAGAGGATAATCACCAATTTGTTAATTAACCATCAGAGATGTGTTTTGATTTTTTCTTCTATGCCTTGTTCGCTTTGTCTCTCACCCTTGGGACTCCTGATGCTGTCAGCACACCGTTTACTACAATGTACGTGCCATTTTTCATTCCCAGGCTGGAGGCAGGGATTTGATTGAATTGAGATATTTGCAATCCTTTTACCCTCTAATATTCCTGCTGGTTTTTCAATTTTTACATTTCTGTCCCTACCTTCCTTCTGAACCCACTGCGGTGCTCAGCTGAAGTTTCTTACGGCTTATGCAGCGTTTCAGATTTTAATCAAGAATAGCCTCCATGCGCGCTAACAGTGAATAGTACAGCAAAACAACTTTCCAGTCAACCGTCTTTTGCTTTGGCGCTTCTCAGACTCTTTGGTTTAGTTTGATTTAATTGGAAGAGATGTTCTCTGAGCCAGCCAAAACACAACCAGCGAGTGATTTTGCAAGGGAAGTGGTTCTGGATTGCCTGAAACTCAACTTCTGCATATTAGCCATTTTGCATTTGAAACAAGGTCATTCATTCTGAGTCCAACAGCATTCTGCTCCACGCTTCTGGGGCTGGCTGTGCCTCTGATTAATTAACATGCTTTAGTCCATGGTCCTCCACTTTCCTAGAGGCAAAACCCAACTGCCTGATAGTTTGGGCTACTCTGTCACTGCATTTTGGTGCGTGATCTGAGGGAGCTGCAAAGGGGGTGAGGCATTCCTGGTTTAGCTTGTTATATGAACCCTCCATTGGTTCCAAAAAGAGTGGGCTGAAGAATCACCCTCCAAAGGAAAAGGAACAGAAAACTGATTTCCCCTCCCATGCACATAAATCCTGCCACCAGTGTCCTTCCCCAGTTGGCAGGAGCCTAGAAGATGTTGAAAGTGGGAGTGAATCTGTCACTTCATTCTGGGTCCCAATCCCACCTGAAATTTTTCTTTCAGGTTTGAGTTTCGCTATTTTAAACAGAAGC